AGTTTTAATTATACAAATATCACGTACATTATAAATTTGTGTTAATTTGGAATTTTATAATAATCAATTATTATAATAATAATAATTTTTATCAATTTTTATAATATCTTTTATAAAGTGTGACTCACTTCTTTATCACTATAATTGTTTATAATTTCCACCATATTTTTTACTTTATTAATTTTCGTCTTTTCTGGTTTTAATAATATTTCGCCGTCACTACTGCTACTGGATGTGTCCAGTAATTCGTTTAATACGACAAATATTTTTTCTGCCATCGTAACCTCTTTGCACTGAAATGCACCGTCAAAAGCCCTCAGTGCATTCGAGTGCGTCCTATGACAGAGAAACTAGCTTAATCGAACATAAAGAATTCACTGTGGCAGAGTTACCCAATCGAACCCATTTGTATTGACACTAATCAATAAAACTAAAAATCAAAAACTAAAAATAGTGCAGTTATGAATCGAACACAAGTGGCAGATGTACCAATAGAGGATAACCTCAATCGAACACGCTAAAACTGAGAGAAGGTGCACTCAGTGCACACTAGTGCGCACTAGTGCATCCAATCGAATTCGCCGTAAGATTGCTCACATTTACACCATGATAAAAATTAGAGAATTGATACCCAGAACTCGCGCTGGTAATCTACAATTTCGACTTTTTGTACTACTAGAGGTTCTATAATCAGAGTAGAGTCCTATATATAAGAGAAGCGGCATTCATCCCCACTACCACCTCTAGCATATATTCAGCACCGCCATGTTTAGCCCGCTCCAGTTGACCAGTTTCGTCATACTCCATTTACTCCATTAAGATTGAAACACAATAGACACAGGCAATAGGCATAGGCAACAGGGAATAACGAGCCATCCAATCAGAGATTTTGGGTATAAGTTCGGTATTATATCCCAGAGCTCTGATTGGACGGCTCGTTATTCTCTGTTGCCTGTGCCTATTGCCTGTGTCTATTGTGTTTCCAGCTTTATGAGAATCATGAACTCCGTCAGAATGAGGTTAAGCAAGTATTAATGTTTTTGTGTTTTCTTGTTGAATAATCTAGCGATTAAGTAATGCAATTACAAAAATATCACATAAAAAGGTAACTGGTATATTGTATGTCTATTTTAGGTATGTGTATTGTATATGTACAGTCGCGGACAGTGAGGTTGCAACACTTTTTTTCGATGGTTTGCAGAACACGCAACAATTTTCAGAGCGCGATTTACCCTTAGAACATATACTACTGGAAGGGGAATTGCCTATGCTACCCGTATACCAAACGTGATGCCAACATGTGTGCGAGAGAGAAAGGTATAGAGTAATATTTGCGCAATGCGCATGCGTCAGTATCATCGTCTGTGTGAATTGTACAGTTGTGTGTTCTCACACAGTGAGATTCACTTCGTATGTATGTACGTTCGTAAGGCCGACATAAAAACAGAATAAAGTAAAAGTAAATATGCCGAGCAATAGTAAATATTGTTTATTGTGTGGTAATCGCGAAACTACTGCAGTTTCTTATTACTCGTAAGTTATTGTATGTAATATTTTATTAAGGCATTAATTATATAATAACATGTAGGTTATGTTTACATATGTTATGGATATTTAATACATATTTCATATTTATTTCATATTTAATAAATATTTCATATTTATTTCTTATTTAATACATATTTCATATTTATTTCTTATTTCTTATTTTATTTATTTCATATTTATT